AGAAATGACTAGCGATATTGGGAACAAATACGAATACTGAATAATATCGCCTGCCTTCAACAATATCCGAGCATTGCACAATTCTCTGATAAAACTGTTCTTCTTCTGGAAGGAGTCTACCTTTCTTAAGTTGACGGAATATGAACCTAGCGGCCTTGACGCGAATCTCTCGCATTTCGTCCGCCGAGCAAGTACATATTTCCACATAGTGACCCAGTTTCCGTAATAACAAGGCATATCCCTCCATACAAGCCATCTCTTCAAGTCTGTTGGCTGCCATCATGCGTGATAATTTGGTCTTTATGGCGCGAAAGTGTCGCAGACCTGGCTGGCGGGTGTAAATCTGCTTCGCGTTAACAATTGATACGATAAATTTCGTAGTCACTGACGGGTTTCCTTGAAGTTCTGGAAGAATCATTCGTGCCACTTGTTTTGCGGTATAGGCAGGCGCGCAATTTCCCCGACTATTTTTGTCACTTGAAACAACTTTTCCCGAACATGCAGACAAATGGCCTTTGAACTCCCGCAGTCTCCACATTCCAGTTCCTGGGTTTCGTAAAAACCGCAATTTTGCTTTGCACTGACGTTCCCGGCACGTTAGAGAAACTGCTTCTGCAGTTTGATGAATATTGACACCTCCTTGTATAGATAGAAAGGCTGTATGCGCGCGGCAATACTTTTCGCATTTCCACCTTGAATCCATTTCAAGACCGGTTTCAGGAATTAATTCGACTGCACGTTGCGGATACCAACTTTCAGATGCTTTCATCTCCTCCGCAAGCGTTTGCCTAACCTCTTCTCTTATTCTTTCTTTGTAAGAACGCTTGCTGGCTCGTACTCTATTTAACGTTTCCAATTCTGTTGACGATCGGTCGTGGAAGCTTATCGTTTTTGTTTTGGATATGGTCTTTCGAGGAGTTGATATTTGTTCTGGTATTTTATCTCCAGTGAGATGTTGCTGGTTTGTTTCCGAGACAAAAATCACGCTGTCATGGGAATCAGAGTGATCCAAATTGTCGTAGCCATAACTTGGACGATGCTCATCCGATTCACGATTAAATTTTCCTCTCATCGATTCCTCTTCGTCGCTGGGGAAAAAAATTTCAAAAATGTTATCGAAATCATCTCCGAAGCCTTCAGGAGAGGAACATTGTTCTCTGTCACAGTGAAGATCGTCGCCGTTTTCAAAAACAGTAAATGTAATCGGTTCCGGAATGAAACAAGAACTCCTACTTGCGTGGCTCTCAGCGTACTCTTTGCATAGCTCAAAGCACTTCGATATATTTTGTGTGCAGCGAGCTGCCAACTCAATATTATCAGTACCACCTTTGTCCGGATGGACCTTGAGGCAGACGCTCAAGTAAGCACGTCGAATATCCGATAATGCGACACTCTTCTCTGTGCTTTCTAGGAAGAAGATCTTCAGAACCGAGGTATTTTTCGGGATCGCACTAATTCTTTGCAGCGTTTCTTCAGTTGCGTTCCCCATTAATCTTAAGCGATGAACGAAGTCGCAATCAGTAGAGGAATGCGAGAGCGTAGCGTTATTCAGAATTTGTGGGGAGAGGTCGGGATGAGTGGGGGAATTAGACAGAGGCGACAGGATCACTACGTGTCCGGATGAGTGGGGGAATTAGACAGCGGCGACAAGATCAGTACGTGAAACCCAAATGTCTGACAAATATAGTTGGGTTTTTGAGGAAAAACCCCACTGATTGTGTCCAATTTCGTATTTCGGCTACTGATTAAACAGTTTTGACATAATTCCCCTACTCGGAGTGTCAAAAAAGCGATGTCGCCTACTGATTCAACACTTTTTTCCCCTTTCGCCAACTGATCGTGAAATCTCCCAAACATTTTACCATTTTGAGTAAATCTATCTCCAAGCAGCCGACCAGATGGAGACAGATTTACTCATTTGCGCAAATAGAGATGCGAGTAGAATTGCGCCACTTGGAAGAATTACCAAAAACCCACGCCAATTCTATTTGTGGGTTTTGGCAAATCGATTTCGGTAGCATTTCGGTAAATTATTCGCTATTTTTGTACAGCAGAGACAAAATACCGAAGTATCGAGACAGGAATATTGTTATCTCGAGACAAATAGCGAAGCCGATTACGCAAAAGATTGGCGCGAGTTTACTGCTACTCACAACCAACACCTCACCCAAACCCGCCGACTCTGCCGCTGCGACACACATTCGAGCAGCCTATTCCATCGTTCCATCATGGTTCCACCCACCCTTCCTCAGCAAGCGCCTTCCGGGGCCCTTGTGCTCCCAGAACAGTCGGACCTGGAGCTTCCTTCCACGCAGCTGGGGACTTCTCACCGCACCAGCAATGAAGACACTCCAGCAGCACAGCCGACAGCCACACCTCTCATTTCAACAAGCGTAGTTGCGCCGGTGCCGCCCGTGGCTCCCCGGGATACTGTTCCGAGGATTCGTCGCATCTGGAAGGAGGAGCATAACGTCCCCTTGATGCAAGAGGTCATGGCTTGCGGAGCTCATGTCCCGGGTAAGTGTGAGGTACTAACAAAGTTTGCCGCGGTTGCCGAGAAGCTCAACGCCAACACGCACCTTTCGCTGCCCTGGATAACGAACGGCAAGCACTGCAGGGACCGTTTCAAGCTTTTGATGGATAAATGGAAGACGCAAGACAGGGTGCAAGCCGCTGCGTCGGGTTGTGAGGAGGAATTCGGTGCGTTTGAGCAGTTGTGTACTGACATCAGGAAGAAATGGATGCCCATAAGGTCGCCATAGAGGATGCGCTTCGGGAGAAAGAAGATAGGGCTGAGAAACTTTTAGGGGCAGGTGCTGCAGTACGTGAAATGGCGCTAAACCGCTACGCTGCTAGGAACGCTGGAACGGACTCTAATGATGAGAGCCCCGCAGAAACGCCTTCCAAAAAGCGGCGCATCGGCGGATCGGAGCGCACAAAGAACTTCGGCGCTGCTATAGAGGCACTTGAGAGCGGAGAACGAGCTCGTACAGAAGCACTGATGTCGTCTGCGGCGCGGGAGAATCGGCGGCTCGAAATCGACGAGCGCCGCCTGGATCGGGAAGCGAAGACCGCAGAGACTACTCATGCGTTAAACCTGCGACGTATGGCTTTGGAGGAGCAGCGCGCTGCTAATGACACAAAGCGCGACCGGGACCAAGCTGAGGAGCGACGGATGCAGCTCCGCATCCAGGCGGGTATGTTGGACTTTTTGTCGAAGTTTGTGGACAAGGGCAGTAGTGGGAAAGGCCAGTAAAGTTTGCTAGAGGCGGGGATGGCAGTGGGAACGAGGAGTGAGAACAATTTTCGCAAGGGTATCCGAGCTCGCGATGGCGCGGAGCGCCGCGCCAGGGGCTTTTGATGGGCATTTTTGCAGTTTAAGGCAATCTAAAGGCCTCTGGATGCGCTCACAACCGCCCCTTACACCGACGATATGTAGTCCTCAAACGAGGGTGCAGAGCAATTAAAGAAGGTGGCGCTCTGCGATCCGTACATGCACGCGCGAAAGTTCCACAGTACTGCGGAAACAAGGTACCACTTTGCCACTGGAACCTTCTGCAGCACCATCTTGCGGCTTGAATCGACGTGGGTAAAGTACTTCTTCAAGTCCTTAAACGCCCACTCAACAGAAACCCGAACCAGCGACATGCTCTTGTTAAATGCCTTCTGCTCATCACTAAGCACCGACCCTTTGAACCCCACCTGTAGATATGGCCGCAGCACGTAGGCTGGGTCGCCATATATGTAGAACTGCCGCCCGCCTACTAACAAGGAGCTAGCAAGGTGTTCCTCTATTCCAGAGCGCCGAAACAGCGTCATATCATGTCTACGTCCTTCTTCAGGACCAAACATGTGATAAACCAGCCCGTCAGGCGTGCTCACGGCCTGCATCTTCAAGCAGTTGCGACGTTTGTGTCCGTTGTACGTTGAGCGCTGAAGGAGGCCAGCGGGGCGTGCGATGTACAGATTAGTGCCGTCTATGAAGCCTACAGCTGAGTCCAAAGCCGCACCTGCCCCATGAATTGCTTCGGCGTACATAGGCGCTCGCTGCTGGAGAAAAGTAGACCTAAAAGATGTAACCAGGGGACCAAAGGACTCGAACATAAATTCCAAGGCCTCATAGAAGATCTCTGAGAGATCACAGGCGGGCCGTCCGAACTCAAACTCTAGATCTGACCAGCGACAAATGTTGCCAAGGCGTCGAGCAAGGACGCAAAAGGAAAAAACGTCAGTTGTACGGTAGCGGCGGCGAGCTGTGACGTTGCGCTCTTCAGGCCACCCAAGCTTGGCCACGATCCTATAGATGTCCGCCTTGCTAAAACGAAATCGCTGCAGACAGGTCTGATCGTCTAGAGAGTCAAGGGCGAACCGTGTTTCTCGGATTCGAATGCGTCGCTCGCGGCTAAGAGCCTGTTCCTCCTCCGCATATAGCACATCGCGAAGGAAGAAGCAGGTAAGTGCGTTGCTGAGCAACACCTTGCGGCAGCGCACTACGAGAAAGAAAGATTCCGTAGAGCGACTCCGGTGTTTCGAAATTGTCGCGTAGCGGATGCGCATGTTGCACAGATGGAGTCCGAGCCCTTTCGGGTGGCTCGTACTCCGCTTTAGCGAAGAATATTGCTGTCTTTTCTGCCAAATCGGCATGTATTTTTTATTTCCGTATCGCTGTGGGATAGTACAGTAGCGAATAAATTGTCCCACGAACCGAATGCCAAAACCCTCTATTGACTTGGCGCGAGCAATGTTCTCTGTGCACAGGGAACACACTGTTTTCTGTGCACAGGGAACACCCCCAACACCCCCATCCCAAGCTGAATTTACCCGCCACTGCCACCCTCCTGCATTCTTCCTGACGCCTTCCCTTCTCCCTTTCCTCCTCCTCTCCTCCCTGCCCTTCCTCCAGGGGATGATGGTGTCATGTGGGGCTTGAGGAGATGGGAACCGGAGACGTCCCCCACAGTATATCCGTGCAGCACCACCACTACCATCCCTCGTATTGGATGACCACGGCTACCGAAAGAGCCAATCACTGCACAACACGTTTGAATTTGCCCTCTAGCCGGTAGTGTTGCGCCTAGAATCGCTATCTCCAAACGCTAAATTTCTCATATTTAACCTCGAAATATAACTACAGTAAACCAGTAGGGGTGCTCTAACAACGCCGTGCTCTCCTTCAACTGTCGAAGCATTAGCCGTTGTGAAACTCGCAAGCAAGAGCAAGTCTGTTTGTTTTCCTTCTTTGGTTTTCGAACCTGCTCGTCAATGAATTGCAGAGTGAACTGCTTGCGACCTATCTCTTCAGTACAAGCACGTCTGCCTTTTTCTTGCCACAGAAACATCACTTCTAGTGAAACCGTCACAGCTGCTATTTCGAGTTCCCCAAAGTTTCCGTTTGAGTCTTTTTATCACGACGGTAAAGACCCTGTTTCGTTGTTCCCAACTTTGAATCACTTCATTCCTCGATAATCCTTTCTCATCCATGCAGGAGTCCCAATCGCAAAGCAATCTAGTAGATTCTTGGCATGGTAAGTCCCGCGTCCGCGTCGCCAAAGTGCGACGTGAAGGAACTCGTCACGCTTTTGTAGAGCTCAAAGTTGAGATCCTACTGCGAGGTGGTTCTGCACGAGCCTTCACACATGGTGACAACTCACACGTTGTCGCTACAGATACGTGCAAGAACCACGTCTACATGCTAGCCAAGACGCATCCGTGCAGTTCACCAGAGTCATTCGCGCTCGTCTTGGCGGAGCGGTTTTTACATACATATAGCTGGCTAACGCAGGCAAACGTCACTGTCATGGAAGTGCCGTGGAGAAGAGCCGAAGTGCTTGGCAAGAATCATCAACACGCGTTTTCGCTAACGGCGGACGGAAGCAGGAAAGCCACTGTTCAACTCATCCGGGAGAAGCACGGTTCGCCCACGGTTGAATTGGTTTCAGGACTGAACAGGTACTATAATGCCGTAGATGCAATTGCAGTGACATAGCTACATTTCAATATCGACGATGCTCTAACAATCCATGGTACCTGTGTATCTCTTCCAGTTTGTCAGTTTTGAAGACAACCAAAAGCGGTTGGGAAGGTTTTGTCCAAGACAAGTACACCACTCTGCCCGAAACCAACGAGCGAATTTTAGCGACGACGATAGACGCCCAGTGGACGTACCGGTCAAACACAATATCCGCGCTGCACACTATGCAATTCTCGCGCGTTCATGACGGCGTGCGACGAGCTCTCCTCGAATCGTTCTACGGGCCGCCAGATACTGGCCGCTACAGTCCGGGTGTCCAGAAGAGCTTATATGAGATGGCGAGAGAAGTGAGGAAAAGGGTCAAGGAGGTCGATAGCGTTACCCTCTCCTTGCCCAATCTGCACTTCCTTCCTTGTCGCATCCCCGTCTTTTTGCAAAATGGGATCAAATTCGAAGATGATGTATTCATCCCAACGGATGAGCCCCACGGTATCATCGAAGCTTCTGTTGGAAGCCCCAGGCTCTCTCGATTGTGAGGAAAAGAGCGAGTCCTTGTGAACTCTCTCAGTTTTATGCCGTGGCCGGTAATATTGTACGTTTGAGACAGGCGAGCTTCGTGGCGATCTCTCGTTTACGGCTGGGGGCTTACGGCATTAAAAAAAAAAGCCTGCATCCTACGGCATTTCGTTGTATCTCACAAATGCTCTCGCCTTTTTTTCGTCATGAACTCCGTGGGCAACTTAACAATCACGCCTTCCTTACTGCTTCATCAAAAATTTACGAGCGGACTTTCTTTAAGCGGCTTTGTCAGAAGCCTTTTTGTAGCTACTCAGCTGGAGTTATGCTCAGATGGAAAATTGGTCCACCTAGTTTGCAAGGAAACGAAAGTATGAAATAGCGCACAGTGCGCGCACGCATTCAAGGAAGCCTGTCCGACTGTACAGGACAGCCTGGCAAATAATGTCAGGCAGTATTTAAGGCCGACGAATCAGCACTAGGCAGTAGAAGGAGCGATAGGCGAGATAAATGGACCTTAAGATTCCATCAAAGCCATGTTAGTGCTTCCCTCTTATGGTAAGCGATATTCTACGTACCTCTTCCAATTTAGCACTTTTTGAATCCGTGAATCATGGAAAACGAAGGAACATGTGACAGCAAGCAAATAGTAGCGAAGGAGGATGTTGGATACCTCATGGTCACAAAGCCTTGATCACAGTGAAGGGAGCACTATAGTTTCTGATATCAGTTTGTTCCACGACGAGCCCTCGATCTGTAAATATTGAGAAAACACAGATCGTAAACATAACCACCGCACTATAGACCCAAGAACCTCATCAAAAGCCTGTTGCAGTAAAAGGTGCGGGATTTTTGTCGCGAGGATCATTTTTCCATCCAGCTCATCATCCAGCGACTACACACCGTTCCGTTTTACGCCGTTAATGGGTTTCAGTTTGTTCAAATGAATCTACAGTTTTCATGTCTTCTTTTTGTTTCTCTTCCATGGCTTATGTTTGCCCCGTCAATAGCACTCGCCCCGAAAATTAACCTTGAACGGGTTCTATCAGAGCTTAAAACTCTGGCAACTCATAGCGATCTAACGCCCCCTGCTGTGCAACGCGTGGTTTACACCTCATCAGATTTATCCGCCCGCACATACTTGCAGCGCATAATCTCCGAGGCCAATCTAGCTATTCACGAAGATGTTGTCGGAAATCTCTTCGCTGTATGGCGAGGGTCATCGTCATCGCAATCCAGGGCAGTTGCCACCGGATCCCATATCGACGCAATTCCTCACTCAGGTATGTACGACGGTGTTCTGGGCGTTCTTGGTGGCCTCGAGGCGATCCGATCATTGAAAGAAGCTGGGTTTACCCCATCCCGAGATGTCCATCTCATCATGTTCACATCAGAGGAACCGACAAGATTTGGCATTGGATGTCTTGGAAGCAGGGTCCTCTCAGCGGAGCTGCCTCACGAATATATGTACAAGCTCGTAGACTCCAATGGCACGACTTTAGATGAAGCGAGAAAAGCGGCTGGTTTCACCAAAGAACTGAGTGAAGCGATACTTCCGGATGATACCTATTCGGCCTTTGTCGAGCTGCACATCGAACAGGCTGACAGTCTCGAGCGATCCTCAACACACATTGGTGCCGTAACATCCATTGCCGCCCCGGCGCAGGCCGCGGTCCGATTCTCCGGTTCAGGTGGGCATGCAGGCGCTCTGCCAATGGCCGAACGGCACGATCCTGGGCTTGCTGGGGCAGAATTGGCACTGGAAGTAGAAAAGGCCGCTTTGGACGGCCAGTCGAATTATTCAGTCGCGACTACCGGCCGGTTTGAAGTGTTTCCAGGTGCCGTTAACTCTGTTCCGCGTACGGCAACCCTCGAACTTGACGTCCGAAATGTCGAGCTGGAAGAAAGGAATGAAATGCTTACCCGTATTCGTGACTCCGCAACTAAGATAGCAGAGCGGCGTGGCGTTCGTCTTGAGTTCAATGTGACAAACGCAGACGCGCCTGCCGATTGCAATAAGCATATTGTTGAAATGGTGGCGCAGGCAGCGCAGGAATCTGGGTTGAGCTACTCGCGGCTCGTGTCTCGTGCATACCATGACTCATTGTTCATGGCGAGGAAGTTTCCGACCGGCATGATCTTTGTCCCGTGCAGAGGAGGCGTGAGTCATCGTCCTGATGAGTATGTTGAGCCATCGGACGTGCATAATGGTATACTTGTGCTGGCAAAAGTCATCGCTAAATTGGCAGGAAGTGGGAATAAAGACGATTACTTGCAAGACGAGCTTTGAGAAGGCCTCTTAAAGGGCAAATGTTGACTTGACAAACTTATTGAAAACTGTTACAGTCGCTTTCTCAGCCGCAAATCAGTCTCGAGCGTATCGTTATAAGAATAACTTTTATCAGATCTTTAGCGAACTTCCGCCTTCCTTTTTGCCATATACTGATTAAGGCAAGTACGCATGTCGATGCAAGAGGAGATAGACTCTTAAAACTTTGATATCGAACAAGTGTCTAATACCTTGCAGAATCCGGGCGCATTGAAGACGAGACGGCCGCATAGGAGTTAAAAATATTCTCCTCGTATGAGCACCCATGGCCGTAATAATCCCTCGCATACTTGGCACTTTCATACTTGGCCCTTTCCTTCGCCAGTAGAGACATTTGCTTGGCCCTAAAGCGAGTGGCGAGAGCGGCAACCCGCTTATACTCTGGGACGGTCTTCGTATTGCCATCACAGCAGAGCACATCATACACCCCGTATGGCACGGCCCGGAACTTGTACTGCTTATCCACGGAAGCGGCCATGTACTCCTCTGCTGGCGAGGTTGAGACTGCATAGCGCACGCAATTTCCCTTGGCTTCGCTACTACCGCGAACGACAGCGCGGGCAGCAACAGGATACAAGTTGACGAGCTTCTCCTCGTAGGTACATCCCATAGCGGCGATGATGGCCTTGCGCCTGGTCTCGGTATAATCGCCAAACTTAGCCTTGACGGAGCGCTGTTTCATGCGAAACTCAGCCGAAAGCGCGGCCGAACGAGACTCCTCCGCTTGCTGTTTGACGTTGCCTTCCGTGCACTTGATGGTGTACACGCCATACGGCGCGGCAGTCATCTTGTACTGCGCGGTAACGCACTTGGCCATGTAGCTATCAACAGCGGGAGAAGGCGAGCAGAGCTTGTCCGGGTTGCCTATGGGCACAGAGCCGAAGCCCGTGCCGATCGCTCGGATCTCGTAGTAGTCTTTTGTCATTTTAGCGTTATACAAGACGCCGTTCATGAATGGGCGACTGACGATAGGGGCGGAGACCTTGTTGGGCTTCTCAAACGGGTTGCACTGTTTGGCATTGACGGTGTCCAAGTAGCTGCGCCACACGCTGGACGGTGTCGAGGGGACGGCAGGAGCGGTCTCGGAGCGAGACATCTTGTCGTACTTCCCTAGCGTGAGGTCGATGTCGGTATTCATGGTGGGGCCCACGGAGGGGCGCACCGGGGACCGCGACGACAGCGGAGGGGTGAAATGGCTGTCGCGAAGGACGGGGCGCGCGAGGGAGGCGGGGACGAAGGCGTTCATAGCACTGGGGAGGTGCAGGGCACAGTGGGGATAGCAGTGGTGGAGTGGTGGTAGTGGGGGTGGGGGTGGGGGGGTGCGAAGAGGTCGGACGGTTTACCTAGGATGCCAGGAGATCTCCGTAGTGTTGGATTTCATGGTAGAAATCTGTCTGGCGTCTTTCCTGCGGCAGAAACCCTTATCGAGTAATCCGCGTGAATAGATCGTAACGGCGAGAGGACCTCATGGGAGATGCACCCAATCGACAAACGCAGAATGAATGCGAGATTTGAAGATAGAATCTTGCAGTCTCCTATATTCCCCGCAAAGCGGCATTAATGGGGCTCGTGACTCAATCGACCAGTTTTGCACTTACTTTACATGGGCCATGGAACAACCCTGGCAAAAGATCTCGTGCACCTCTACAACCGCATCAAATCGTTTCACTCATTCTACAGTATCATATACTGTACTGTTGTGACAAATCCTGATCCCGACATCGTAGGCGAGCGGGTAGAAGGACAAGTGGTTGCAGTTGATAGGGTCCTACTCTACAAACACGGTGGGGGAGCACAAATGCCCGGAGACTGCCAGTCTCCTAAATGGAAGTCTTTGTTGGTCTGTCAGGTCACTACCTTACTTTTCTTCCCTCTCTCTCCTACCCTAGGGTCAACCATCAACTATATATAGAGTCTCTGGACTCTCTCCCTCCGCGCTCAGGTCAGCCTGCGGGCATCGTGCTCTACCGTCAAGCACGGTTATGCTCACTTCGAGCTTTTAGCATTTAATTACCCTTCCTGGTAATAAATATAGAACTGCGCTTGTATTCCTCCTGAATGCAAGCGCCTTCTCCAATACACATTATCAATCATTCGATCCATACATGCATTCCTTCCGAATGCAAGTACCCCGATGAGTATATTCAGATTCTAGTGCAACTTACACGTCTGATCCTGAGCTGTTCTTTATTGTGTGCGTCTCACGCCTCTTGACATCCCGTGGCTGTAATGAATATGTACAGCTCGAAAGGTGTTCATTCACAACTGTACAGTATGTCACTCTCCCGAGGCAGATGCCCCCTTTTCTACACATGTTACACGTGTATATCGTGTTCTCTGTCAGAAAATGAAACCATGCTTTGCTTACAGTGCGACGGCGGTGGCGTAACTCACCATCCCAAGCCCTGCCTCTACCGCCGCTCACTAATCCCCGGTCATCCACCCCCATCCTCGGTGAACAGCGACCTCTTGTCGACACCCCCCTTCTTCTCTCGTGCACTCCCGACATACCTGCAAGATGGGTAAAAAGGTAAAGACCGGCAAGAACCGGCAGGACAAGTTCTACAAGCTCGCTAAAGAGCAAGGCTTCCGTTCGCGCGCCTCGTTCAAGCTTGTGCAGCTCAACAAGCGCTTTGACTTTCTCTCGGGCGCCGCGCGCGGCGTCGTCGACCTGTGCGCGGCACCGGGCGGATGGATGCAAGTCGCACGCAAGCACATGCCGGTGTCCGCGCCATGCATCGGCATCGACCTCGTCCCGATCCACAACGTCCCGGGCTGCGTCGGGCTGGTGGGCGACATCACCACCGAGTCTGCCCGCGCGGATCTCAAGCGCTCCTTGCAGGAGGCCCACGGAAACCGCTCCGGGAACAAGGTCGACGTCGTACTCAACGATGGCTCCCCGAACATGGGAAGCGCCTGGTTGCAGGACGCCTACACGCAGAGTGAGCTCACGCTGGCTGCCCTCCGACTCGCGGCAGACTTTCTCGCTCCAGGCGGTGTCTTTGTTACCAAGGTCTTCAGGTCTAATGATTACAACTCGCTGCTCTTCGTCATGAACCAGCTCTTCCGCCGGGTCAACGCCACCAAGCCCACGGCCTCTCGCTCTGAGTCTGCAGAGATTTACGTCATGTGCATTGACTTCAAGGCTCCGAAAGCTATCGATCCGCGCCTTCTCAATCCAAAGTACGTATTCAAGGACATGGCCTCCGAGCCGCTGTCGCAGACCGACACTGCTGACAAGCCCGACCTGTTTCTGAATACTGTCATGAAAGACATGAAGAAGCAAAAGCGCCACCGCGGCGGGTATGCAGACGGCGAACGCACTCTGTTCCGCCGCGTTTCCGTCCTCGACTTTTGCCGCACGCAGAGGCCGGTCGCGCTCATGGTCGACTCAAGCCAGTTTTCGTTTGAGCCGCGCGCCATCAAATCTGAGGAGGTTGATGAGGAGCAGGCTAGGCAGGTATCGAAGTTGCTCACAGAAATGCCTGAGACCTCGAGTGAAGTGCGGAGCTGCTGTGAGGATTTGAAAGTCCTTGCGAGGCGCGATTTTAAATTGCTCATCAAGTGGCGTTTGGCAGCTAGAGGAGCACTGCAAAGAGAGAGTTTATTAGAACCGGGAAAGAAGACAGAGGGTGATGCGGAAGAAAAAGAGCAGGGGCCGGAGAAAGACGAAGACGGCGAGTCAATGCATAAGAGGGATTCGTCAGATGAAGAAGAGAACATTAATGAAGAGTTGCAGAAAGTGCAAGCTGAAGCGCTCGCCAGAGACAAGAGGAAGAAGAGGAAAGCGAACAAGTTGCGAAGCGCGATCCAAAGAAAGATTGATATGAAAATCTTCTTGCCAGAGTCAGGAGGTACAGTTGACGACGACGCACCAGAAGGCCTTTTCGCCATGAAGACTGCAAAACGAGCTGAAAAGCACGGCGCGGCCGTGGTGGACATTCCCGCGGACGATCCACATGATGCTGATGACGAAGGCGATGGCGGATCACACTCGGATGACATGAAAGTTTCGTTGCCATTCAAGACTGGTGATCTCAACAACACTGTATCGGAAGAAACTGCTGATATCGCGGAAGATCTGGATCGGTGGTACAAAGTCTACCTTACCCGCAAGAAGAGAGATAAGAACGGCGTCTTGTTAGCTGAATCAAAGGAGAGAAAGCGAATCACGAAACGGAAGGCCCTGCGTGATGCCTATGAGAAACGACAGAGTGAGCCTGGAGAGCAAGATGAATCAGCCAGGCCTTCGTTAGTGGTAGATTCTTCGGAATCCAGCAGCGACGGAGAGCAATTTGGAGAGGACATTCGTATATCGCGCAGGACAGGGCAATCAAGAGAAGCAGCACTGTTTTTTTCGCAACCTATGTTTCAGGGAATGGCACATTTGTCGTCAGACGATGACGCGGACGTTGGTGACGATGACACTAGGGAAGGCATGGAGATCGACATTGGACAGCCGGAAGGGAACGGGATCGACGAGCAAAATGAAAACTTCCACGCAGCGGCGATAAGAGAGGCTCGACGGATGGCGGCAGAGAAGGAGAAGAAAATGGCAGAGGACGGAGACGGTTTTGATGTTGTGCCAATGCAGAAGGACGACTCGGATAATGAAAACGGAGAAGATCCCACGAGCGACTCTTCGTTCCATTCCTCTGACTACGACACTGATGAGAAGGCTGAGATGGTTGCAATTGGTAGAAAAATGAGACAGTCCAAGACAGAAGCAAGCGACGTGCTCGACGAAGCATACAATCGGTATACTTTCGATGACCCGGACGACCTTCCGCGATGGTTTGCTGATCCCGATCCGACATACAGGCGACGTCAGCCACCCGTCACGAAGGAACAAGTAGCTGAAATGAAGGAATACATCAAGGCGCTACAAGCTGCTCCGACCAAGAAAGAAGCCGAAGCGAAAGCCAGGCAAAGGGCTCGCGCAACGAAGAAATTGGACGCAGTTAAGGCCAAAGCCAACAACATCGCTGAGCAAGGGGACGTGCCGGCATCTTCCCGTATGAGAGCGATTGAAGACCTTTACAAGCAGGCGATGAAATCAGGAAAGTCTGGGAAAAAGAATAAGAAGAAGGTTTACCAGGTCGTGCGCCCCAACGGACGAATGGTAGTTGGGAAGAGTGACAAAAAGGGCCGAAAAGCCCGCGGCGGAGTTCGAACGACTCTTGTAGACAAGAGATTGAAGTCCGATAAGAGGGGGCTGGCCAAGGCAAACGCTCGTATCAAAAAGAGGTCTAAGCGATAGGTTTGTCGTCGTTTAGTAAGTCGGTATATTTAAAATGACCACGAGCTTTGCATGTTAACCCTTGTACGTTCAGCTCTCCACATGGTGATTTGTATCAGCAGGGAGCCGCCTCATGAATAGCCAGCCTCCATAACCATCAGTCACGTGAAAGATGTTAAGGCACCAGCGGTGATCATTTTCACGAAACAGAGTAGCTGTTTGTCTTCAGTCTGTGCCGTAGAGTAAAGGGATCCTAAATGACATGGGTGGTGGCCCACCGGGTAGAAAAGACTTTATTTCACATGTGTGGTGCCATGTGTCGATGAAAGCACTGGAATATTAGACGGACTAAGCGTAATGCAGTGCGACTAGCACGCTACACTATGTAAACAAAATACAACGTACATGCATGCATGCGCATTACATGGGTTTGAAGTGCATGAGCTGGTCAATGGCCCCTGTCTTTGTTACCCATTCCTGATGAATAAGGCCCCCAATGCCGATCATAGCGAGTCTGCCGTTCATAATTTCGTTGACCTGGTACTTCTTGAAGGTAGTTGCATCCTTTCCAAGTCCGAGAGGATCGAAGCCGAAATTGCCTGGTTCGTTCTTGCCCTCGACAGTTTGCTTGAGGGCGTAGCAGCTGATGCCCTCGAACACAGCGATGAAGAGAAGGATCTGGCTCATGCCCCCGGTGGTGATGAAGTAGTTGTGAGCTTCGACGGGAAGTATGTGAGGGAAATAGGAGTTGGGAAAAGTCCAGAGTTCTTGAACGAGCATGCCAAGGCAGGCGAGCATACAGATGCGGCCGTGTTTGATTTCGGCGGCCTGGAGGAAGCGGACATTGATATAATCCGAGATGAGAAGGGGGTCAAACTCGAAAGAAGCGGGGAGTCCTTCGAGATTCTTCGGCTTGAGTAAGAACGGAACGCTCTTACTCATCTGCATGGTGGGTCCGGAAGACACTGACCGGCGAACCGGGGCAGCACGCGGCGACAAAGCGGTGCCAGCGAAGCGGCTGGAGGCGACAGGGAGTGCGGAGACGAAGGCAAACATTTTGAGATTGGGGATTGAGGGGTGCGGTGGTCGGAAACTGGTTCGGAAGGAAATGCTGAGAAAGTATCGAGGTGGAAGAGCTATGGGCGAGGGGCACGAAGCTTTTATACTGGCAGCCGGAGCTTGGAATACGTCTCTGGTTTTATGGCTGAGATATTTGAGACAGGAGGTGTGGGGAGGGTGATTCGTGGGCAGCAAACAAGCGGCTCAGGGCGAAACCCCATAAGATCTGATAATATCAGCCAATCAAACAAGCGTTTCGGGAAACATCTCGCTGCCTTCGTTTTGCCACTTCTCGCCTCCATTCGACGAGCGTCTGCGCCGCACGTACACGTGTACCGTGTTGCCGGTACGGCTCCCTTGCTTGCAGACAGCTTGTCTTTTGTAGGAGAGACTCAAGACCTTGGTCGTGTTTACTGTGGGAGGAGCGACGGCGGTGTTAAATACCGGTGCAGCTATGTACACGTGTAAGATACGACAAGGAGTGGAGGGTGATCGGTGGCGGCATCAAGCGGAGAAAAATTAAGATACGACAGTCGCCGCGCTTGATGATGGTGTTGCGGTGAGCCGGAGCGTGAAGAGTTGGTGCTCAAGGATCGTAGGTTTGAGACGTTTCGTGAGGCAGTCTGCGGGATTGTCTCGCGATGGTATCTTCAGGAGGTAATGCGGTGTCGGAGCACTTGTTCATTGACGTAGTGGTATTTTACGTCGATGTGCCTCAATTTGGGCGTTGGGTGTGGAGATTTGGCCGTGGTGATGGTACTGGAATTGTCTATGTGAAGGGGAGTTGGTATGAAGGGATCGAGGGCGCGGAAGTCGGGTAGGAGGTTGCGAAGGCAGTACGTGTGTTGATATGCATGGAAGGCGGAGATGTATTCTGCCTCCCATGTTGAGGATGCAACGAATTTCTGGTGTTTGGATTGCCAGGCAATGGGGCCTTGTCTCCAGAGCGCGACGATGCCTGATGTAGAGCGATGTGGGTCAAGGCAGGACGCGAAAATTGGAGTAGTACGCATCGAGGGGTCAGGGGACGTGGCATTCGTGTATGTGATGCCGTGTGTCGGGGTGTGCCGAAGGTAGCGCAGGACTCGCTGTACTGCATGCCAGTGTTGTTGGCAGGGGTCGTGTGAGTACCGGCCGAGGAGGCCCGTGACAAAGGCCAGGTCGGGGCGGGTGCTGTCGGGGAGGTAGCGGAGGCAGCCGACAGCAGCCGAGTAGGGAGTGGTGGAGGGGAGTTTGGCCTCGTCGGTTTTTCGGGCAGAGATGGCAGTAGTGTCGTAGGGAGTGGGGCTGTGGTTGCAGGTCTCCATATGGAACCTTTTGAGTATTTCCATAATGGAGGCGGGTTGGCTGATCGAGATGGAAGTGGGTGTGCGGTCCACTTTCCATCCAAGGAGATGCTTGACCGGCCCGTGGTTTTTGAGAGTATAGCGTGAGGCCAGTTTCGCGCGAGTGGAGTCAAGGAGGGGGCGATGATTGCTGACGGCAAGAAATTCATCGATGGTTATGACAAATAGGACGAAGTGGGAACTGCGTTCATTGCGGAGCAGAAATGTGCAGCTGTCACTGGTGAGGTGTGTGAAGTTCCAGAGTTTTAGGTTACTGGCGAGGCCTGAGGTGAATATTTTGCAGGCCTGTTTGGTGCCATATATGTTGCCGGTGAGTACTCTGACATGTCCTGGGTGTTTGTATGACCCGTCAAATTGGGGTGGCTGATGGACACAGATTGTCTCTTCAGGGCTGAGTAGTTCGTGTAGGAAGGCTGATTCGAGGTCCCAATGTTCGGCAATGAGGGGTTCCGGCGGTGAGGGCAAGGGCGCAGCGGACGGCGTCGCGGTCCGCGACAGGGCTGGATATGTTATCAGGGTCATAGTGGACGTGCGGGATCTGCATGTCACCGCGGGCTGTACATCTGGTTTTGCGGGGGATGATGTTGCCAGATTCATCACGTTTGAGGCGTAGTGTGAATTTGAGTGGGAGCAGTGTGGCATCTGGTGGGAGGGATGATTTGGGAATGTATGAGAGGGTGCCGTGGTTCTCCAAGCTTTGAAGCTCAGAGTTCCAGGATTCTTCCCAGAGATGGGAGTCTGGTGCACGTCGTACGGCGCGGAGAGAGCGCGGGTTGGTCGTTGCGTCGCCGTGTTCGGTGTTAGGGTTGAGGGTGTTGAGGCAGAATGTGGGCATGGCGATGAGCGGTTCAATATGATCATCGCTTGTGATACAGTGTTGATTGTGGTTCAGGAGAACCGGTGGGGCGTGGGATTTGACGCGTGGAGGGAGGCGGGGGCGCGATTGTGTTGATACAGGGTCGCGGTTGGGGTCGTAGGGGATAAAGTCCGACGCACGACATCGGCCGGTTTTTTTGTGGTTGTGTTCGAGGTGGCATAGTGGGGGTCTGTACTGCAGAGGGAGCGGTGCAGGTAGGAGCGAGCCCGCAGTTTGTATTTAGGTGCAGGGTTTGTCACATAGCCGTATTGGCCGAAGGGGAGGAGTGTATTGATGGTGACTGCTGTGCGGGACCACAGTGTTTGTGGGAGTTGCTTGTGGGAGCGGTGGGGGGTATGGTTGTATTTGTCGATATAGTCCCGGGCGGCGTGTTCCCAAAATTGGGGGGGCATGACCGAGGAGGCCAGGGCAGCTCTGACATTGTCGAATATTGTGCGATTGGCACGTTCGGCTAGGGAATTTTCTTGGGGAGTGTGAGGGATAGTGGTGTGGAGGGTGATGTGTTGGTTGTCGTAGTATGCACGGAGGTCATGGGAGATATATTCCTTGGCATTGTCACTGGTTACATGGCGTACGGTATGGCCCGAGAGGGGCTTGACCGATGTGAGGAATTTTTTGACAATGAGTGCGGCGAGGGTGCGGGCCGGGTGGAAGAAGGCAAACAGCTTGCGGTTTCCTTCATC